CTGACGCGCGGGGCCGCGGCCAGCTGGCAGGGGGTCGTCGTCTTCTTCTTCTCCTTGCTCGCGCTCGCCCGCGGTCCAAAGGGAGGTCGCCGGTGCGGGAGCTCGTCCGGCCGGCTCCGGCCATCCCCCGCCTCACTCGACCTATGGGCGAGCTCAGCAGGAGGAGCCGCACCCTTCTGCGGAGAGCACGGGCTCTGAGGTGGACCGATACTAGCGCGAACGGAGACATGGCGGACGGTGGCTCGGGCAGAAGTGGGCACGGGCCCACTGGCCACGGGAGGAAGAGGCGAAGGGCGGGGAAGAACCAGAGGGCTCTAGGGGTTCTATTGGTGGTGGAAGAAGGATGAGAAGATCTCGGGTTGGCGCTGATTTGGGAGGAGGTCGTCGGCGGCAATGGCGACCGTGGGGGTCGGGTAGAGGCTCTGGAGCTCGGGGAAGTGACTGGGGAGGTCTATAGGAGGGAGGAGAGGAGGCTGATGAGCTCGGGAGGCCGTGGGGATGGCTATATATAGCCGAGCGAGGGAGGTCGAGCTCGGGTGTCGCCGCGGGGATCCGGCCAACGCTCTGGCGACGGCCAGCGATCACGGGGAGGCGCGGGATCGCGACGAAGGGAGAGCGGACAAGCGACAGTGGTGCACAGTGCAGGAGGGGCCGAGGGCGCAGAGGGGAAACGGACACGGCGCCATTAGTGCTCGGTCAGCCACAGTGCGCCGGTGGGCGCGCGGCGACGAACACTGACGGAGGGGCTTATGGGGGGAAGTGGCTCCATGAGGACGGCGACGACACGGGGAACACGTTGGACAGGCCCGTGCTCGCTGAGACGCCGAGCAGAGGAGGGGCCCGAGCAAGAAGACGCTCTGGACGCGGCCGATGCGTGTCAAAATGGTGGTCACCGCGCAGACTGGCAAGGAGAAGAAGCCAAGGGTTGGCAAATGATGTCTAGTGGTAAGTTCTTCCAAGGAAGGTTTCAAGTACGGTCGTACATCGATGAAAGGAGTTGTGGTTAAATGGTAATCATCCTCTGAAGTTTACTGCGGTAAACTTGGCCGTGCACTGCTAATCAATAGAGATTTGATTGGGTCAAATGGAGCTGTCTGAGATGATTAACTAAGAAAGGATTATGATTATGGAGGTTTTGGGGCATAATGGACCACAAACTAATATAGTTGCTTTGTAACTCACATTTTATGGAGTGAAGTGCACTGTAGGTCCTTGAACTATTCCAGGGATGTCACGTAGGTCCTCGAACTATGAAAATCGTCATCTAGGTCCTCAAAGTGCAGTAAGTGTGTCATTCAGGTCCAAAATCTCCCTGACAGGCTCTAACTGGCCAGCTGGCACATAAACAGTAACCGTAACAGTACGCGGCAAACAGTCCTGAATTCCTGTGCGTGATGAACAATACACGACAAAGAATAAACATAAAAAAATATCAAAAAACTGAGATCCTCTGTCATCGAAGAGACCCTGGCACGTGAACAGTAAAAATGTCATTAATTCAAAAAAAGTTCGCGAACAATGAATTTGGAAAAATATTTGTGACTTTAATAAAATGTTCGTGAACGATGAATTTGGAAAAAAATATTCGTGACTTTAAAAGAATATTCATGAGTTTAAAAAAAGTTCGCGAACGATGAATTTGGAAAAAATATTCACGACTTTAAAAAAATGTTAGCGAACGATGAATTTGGGAAAAATATTCGCGAGTTTAAAAAAAGTTTGCGAACGATGAATTTGGAAAAAATATTCATGACTTTAAAAAAATGTTCGCGAACGATGAATTTGGAAAAAATATTCGTGACTTTAATAAAATGTTCGCGAACAATGAATTCGGAAAAAATATTTGCGACTTTAATAAAAAGTTCACTAACATTTTTTAAAGTCAAGAATTTTTGTGGTTTGCGAACATTTTTTCCATACCCACGAACAATATTTGTGGTTCGCGAACATATTTTCAAATTTATTGTTTGTGAACTTTTTTAAAGTCGCGAATATTTTTCCCATATTCGCGAATATTTTTTTGAATTAATGAACATTTTTACTATTCACGCACCAGGGGTATCTTTGATGCCAAAGATTTTCAGATTTTTTTTGTTCATATTTTTTTATTTTTCGCACTGTTCACCATGCCAGCTGGCCATTTAGAGGGGTTTAGTGAGATTTTGGACCTGGATGACACACTTACTGTACTTCGAGGACCTAAATGACGATTCTCATAGTTCGAGGACCTATGTGACACCCCTGAAATAGTTTAAGGACCTACAGTGCATTTCACTCAATTTTATGGGTCCAGAAACTTGATTAGGAAGGTGCACCCACATGGAGATGCCACTTGAGCTGAATTTTGGCAAGACTAGTTATTTGGACAGATAAAGGTGCTGTAAAAATTTCATACCAATTGGATGCACCAAAATGGTACTTCCTTCACAACTATTTTCCCTATCCAGAAACTTGCAAAAACTCTAGAGACATATTGGCTTGATTAAATGGTCCCAAATTTGCTGGAGAGAAGTTATTTGGGTAGTAGAATGCTCTGGTAATTTTTCAGGTAAAATGAAGCAATATAAAATGTACTTGCTTCACAACCTGAAAATATTGACAGAATCAAAGATTTGATTATGTGCTCACATAGATAAAGGGATGGAGCTGAAATTTGGAGGAGTGTGCTAATATGAGCACATGAAGGAGAGTGCAAAATTTCAACTCATTTGGATAACCCTAGCTAGTACTTCCTTCACAAAGCCTTCTGTTTGACAGAAACTTTTAAAAATCACCGAGGAAGATTGGCTAGGCAAATAAAGTTGAATTTTTGCATGGAGAAATTATTTGGACATAAAAGAATGCCCAAAAAGTTTGGGAGCAAACAAGGTTGGATAAATGACACTTCCTTCACAAAGTGCCCCTCTGGACAGAAATGAAGAATAATTATTCAGGAATTATTCTTGCGCTAGGACAGGAAAGTTTGGGCATATTTGAGCAACATATGACCCAAAGAAATTATGAAAATTATTTGTAAATTTTTGGATGGACAGAAATATAGGTTGCTTCACAACCTAGGGTAGACAGGGTTATTCCTTTATTAGAAAAGGGAATATTCCCTAGAAAAAGATTTTAGGGTTTGGTCAAAGAGTGAAGTGACATGATTTTGGTAAGGTTTTGAGAATTATTATCCACTTGAGAGGGGGAATAAGGATGATTTCCCAGATGGCAAGACCACAGAACCACTCGAAAAAGAAAAAACAAAGCAAAAACCAATAAAAAAACAGAAAAAAGCCAAAAACCCGGCTGTTACAGGGGCTGATGCCTGGTCTTTTGCTCTGGGCCTTGGCGGTAGTGTTTTGTTAGACATCGCGACATCTTTTGGATTTCTGAACTCTGTCTTGTAACAGCGATGACCTGGGAGAACTTGCTTTACTGGTATGTCTATTACGGGTAGAAAGCTTGTGGTTAGAACCTTTTGGACTGGTGTATGTTTCCGCTGTTGATTTCATTTAAATGAAATCGGAGGAGAAACCCTCTTTTGCTTAAAAAAACTACCATGCGAATCAAAGGATGAGATGATTCAATACTACTCGGTTTCAGAAATAGTATGATATACCATAAAAAAACTCATATTATTTGCATGCATGCATCTCACGCTTACCGTGGGCAAAGTAGTCCTCGACGAGGAGTGCGACCAGCCACAAGCATCGGCATCTCGTATGGACACTGTCGTCGTACGGCTGCCGTCTCGTACGGCCGCCGTCCACGGGGAGTTGGTCCAGCCGTCCACAATAACGCCTTGACACACGGCCGTTGTGAGCGTGTTGTCCACGGGGCCAACATCGTGTCCAGTGGCCGCCATGGATGACAGGCTGAGCCGTCAGACTGGCCGGCGGCGCCGAGCTCCTTCGGTGAGGGCGTGAGGCCATGGACGAGAGGTCGTTGCTGCATCGTGTTGTTTGGCCACCGCCGTCAAGGCTCTTCGAAGTGGCCGCCATTGACGCAAGCGAGAATAAGATAACCCTAATTAGACATATTTAAAAAGTATAAAGCTGTTTAGATCACTACTTTAATAATCTAAACATAAACACTCTTATATGTCTTGGAAGTTGATCCGTCCGTCCACGACGACGTTTTGACACACGGCCACTGCGAACGTGCTGTCCGCCGGGCCAATAGCGTGTCCTGCGGCCGCCACGGACGAGCCATCCGACTGGCCGGCGGCGCCGAGCTCCTTCGGTGAGGCCATGGGCGAGAGGTCGTCACCGCATCGTGTTGTTTGGCCGCCGCCGTCAAGGCCCTTCCGCATGGCCGCCATTGACGCAAGTGAAACACTCTTATATTTTTTTTCTACAGGGAAGTAACTGTTAGAGCATGACAAAGTACTTGTGTTTTGGAATTGAGGATTGACAACAGGTGGGATTGGGATGCTTTGAGATTGTCGCGGCCACGTGAAGCTCATCTGATTGGGTCTCACAACATCGCCAGTCTCATAGGATTGGGTCTCACTGCGTTACCTCCCACCTCCTGTGTGCTCTGGTCTGGTCAGCACCACAAACTACTCTGGCCCAGCGAAGAGGAAGACGTCTGTTGTTCGGCCACGACCAACTTCGCTACCTTTCCTTGCAATCCCGCGTGGCTAATGGCACCGGAGCAACACAACTACTTGCTCAGCCTCCTTCTTTTAGGAGTTCTGCACCGGAAACGGTGAACAACGTCGCCTATGAAATCTCAGAGCAAACATTTACCAAGGTTCAACTAATTACTGCAAATCCATCACATAGTAGATCCATGGTTGTCCTAATAATTAATGGTTTAATCACACCACAAAGGTTCACAATGGTACATCAATACAAGTTCGTAAACGGTTCCAACTATCCTAGAACCAACACAAATTATACAAGTCTCATAGTTTTCTTCCCTGAAATATCATTACTTGTGCAGTTTTAGTAAGCAATAGTATATTATGCTAGGGATAAGGGTCTGTCCCGGTCATCATTGTTGCAACGGTTGCTATGTCAATGTTTTGCTTTGCCTTTTTCTTTCCCTTCGGATATCCTTATCTTGTAGAATCCTCTCATATAGTCGGTTTCACCTTAATTGAAGTTGGAGACACAATATTATATGTTAAATCGCTACACATGAGACGATAATCATTTGGAAGTTCTACTAGATTTTCCAAAGAGATACCTCGAAGAAGTGGAGACGAATCAAACCACCGTAACTTCTTTATGGCTCTCGCCAGTAATATCATGTAATCACCCTTGCTATGTTGTACATATCTCTCAATCTGAGCCTTAGTTGTCCCAATTTTCTCCTAACATGAAAAAAAACATGGTACAATATATATACAAATAAAAAAATGAAGTGTTATAAAATACTCCCAAGATAATACACACTCACCTTTTGACCTGAAAATCCTTTGTACTCGTCATCGTAGTGAGCGACAATTTTGTTCCTCAAGAATAAAACTGAGTGAAGCAAGTTGTTATCCTTATGTTCTCGTTCGATGTTATTCTCATCTTTTGGTTTTGTAAACTCTCGCATGAGATGAATTAGTCCAAGAGACGGCTCCCTCATGAGTTGACCTCCTTTCTCTGTCTGTGCGTATGGTAGCTTGTTTTTTGCATCACGATCCATGTCAACCATAAAATGTATTTCTCTGATGAACTCCATCTTTGTGTTGGCATTCCATAAACCCGGCTGCCAAAGTAGGTCGTCATAACTGCACCATTGGCACATCACATATGAGCAAATACATGACTTATAACCATAATAATAAGATAAAGGACAACATATGGCCAACATATTTATTTTGCAAAATGACAACCGACCTACCTCACTGTTCCCTGCATTAAGAAGCGAGCCAACTCCCTTAATTCCATACTGGCTTGGTTACCGTGGCCAAACAAGGAATTTAGACAGCCTCCAATCTCGTTCCAGTGTGTTGCTTTCAAACCATTGGCTGCATGTTTTCACAAAAATGCATAAATTTTCAAAATGATTAAGCAAAGGTGCCATGATTCCACAGGTGAAATACTCACTTTAATAATTTCCTAAGGCCATTACATTAAAGGAAACAAACTTGAACTATACTTGGGTAACAAAATGTTTCATTTTCAAGAAAACGTATCTAGTTCAATGCAAAATGCTACAAAAAAATCAGAATTTATTGTTATGTCATAATGCCTAAAAGTAAAGTGTCATGATCATTACTGATGACACGCCACTTAGCTGCAACAACCAGTACTCTGAAGTCAGAACTCAAGCATTGGTGTTGGACAGTTTCCCATAAAATTAAAGTGCATAGAAATAGCAAGTGTGGAGTAGCATATATATAAGAATGTAAAACATTAAATAAAATCTATCATTATACTTCAAGCTACCACATTGATCCACATAGAGTAAGTAATCTACTCTGTTGTTTTTGTAACGGATCTTAGTTACAAGGGATGGGATTTAAAACTGAAGATAAGAAACATATAGTATAAATTTGCAAAAAGAGACATGCATGTGTTTGAATCAAAATCTGAACAACGGAACTCTGTACTGCATGGCAATGACATCACTGCTTTCATCAGCAATTCATCAACAAACGTTCCTACATATTAAGTTCCTATCTCCTTCCTTTATTTTTTATTAAATGGACGGAGTACAAATGAATTTGACTCGGAATCTCCCTGTCCAAGAATAAATTTAAACCTCATAATTCCTCTGTAGACATCTATAAAGTGTGCCGTTGATTATCTTTCCTACGTACTGCACATTAAGACCATATGTAGCTAAATATATGAATACATTTTGCACACTAGGGATTTGACTTGTAAGACCTAAAACTAGAAAAGTTGAATAAAGAGAACAATTTGATTTCAATTAAATTTCAAATAGTATGTACTGGCATGTGAGAAATGAGAATGCGACATGCTTCAGATTTAACAAGATGTATGGATTTAGTTGTAATTGAAAAGGTGTCGTCGTGAATAGAGAAGAGTCGGGCTATGGTGCACTTTTGAATTGACGGTCAGTGCAAAGTTAACGATAACTAGAAATGGTTGATTTCCAGGAATCAAATTACCATGTACCAGTGCAAGGCATGCAAGTAGTGAGAACAATTTGTGTGAGATACATGTGCAAGTGGCACATCATACAAGAATGCTCAACAGTGTTGCAGCTACAACAGTAATGATTTCAAGCAACCAATCATGCCAAGTAGGTAATAAGCTGTGTATGCTATGCTGAAAAAAACATAAATCATGGATGGAAGGGGGCGATTGAAAAGTCGAATGTAACATCAGCCACTTCCGAATGTTATAGAAACTCGCAATGAATATATTTTCTAGGAAACATATAGAAGAAATCATGGAAGCATACTAATGAACTGAAATAACAACAGTGCGTGTGGATGTGACTCGAGATGATGAGACTGAACATCTATCCACTCATCACCCACATTTTCATAGAATAAAAGAAGTGTTCAAGAACAATAGAGTGGAGACGAGCGGACGCCCATGAATTGGTTATCACTATCGGGTTGAGTTCATGTTTGATTGGAAGTGACTGAGAAGAGGTACATTGAGAAGTACCAAAGAGTATTAGGTACTTGTACATTGGGAAGTACTTATATTGCATGGCATCGATAAAGTAAGAAGAATCGACATATCAATGCCAATGTGTTATCTGTGCGACCTAACGTATCATCGAAAAAGAGGAGCATGATTTGTTGTGGCAAAAACCCTAAACTTGGAAGTGAAAACATGTCAAATATGTGGTAAATCTTGTTTACTGTGCTAAATAATACCCACAAAAAATGGGCACCATAAAAAATATACGAGAAGGGGTCAGAGTGATCGATTGAGAATAGCTTATAAAATTATGGTAACTTTACTCTAATGAATGAGCATCTTAGATGGGTATGCAATAATCATAGTGGAAACATATAGCTAGATACATTCCACCAATCAAATAATGTAAGTTCAATATATATCGCTAATGATGAGGCAGATGGAGGAAGAAAAGGCAAGGTCTCCATTTCATATTGGTTGAGTTGTGTCAAAATTGTACAGGTAAATACAAAACAACATACACACTATCAGAAAGACTATTCAAAAATACGAGAGACATTTTCTTAAGCATTTTAATACAACATATACTGATAATTGGAAGTATCTAGAGGCATGATACTGTTGCAATAAAAACCATTGAATACAAGCACCAAGAAGTTGAGCAGACAAAGAGAATTCTCTATTTTTATTTAGAGAAAAGGCTCGCACCTAGCCCGACTTTGAATTTAAAATGCCATCAACCGGACAGGATTATAACGGACAACAGATCACAAAGCAAGCAAGAAAGAAATGGCTAAAGATACAAGGTGCTGTGGGAGCAGCAAACGAGCCTCAAACAGACTACAAACATATGAACTAAGACTAAAGCACCAGGCTGGTTGAGGTCGAAGAAGCCCACCACCACGATGATACACCGGAGCAGGCAGAAGCTAGAGCTTGGGAGGGAGAACAACCAGCAGGTGCCCCACACAAACGAGTCAACTCCCTATGGAACAGGCACGCACAGGCTCGACCCACTCCATCTCCAAAGTACTCCCTCCGTAAACTAATATAAGAGCGTTTAGATCAGAGAGTAGCAGTGACAGCCTGGCACGAAGGGCGTCGATCCGTCGAAGGATGGAAACGTGAGCACTGACGCCCAGGACGTTCGGAGACCAGATCATATCATGAACACTGAGCAAGGCTGCTACTCAGGAAACTACCGAGGACAAAGCTGCTACTCAGGAAACTACCGAGGACAAAGCTGCAAGGAATGCCGATGCCGAAGTTGCATTGCAGAAAGATTCCATGAGTAAGTCAGCACGGAGGCACGAACCACGCCGCAATCGACCGCCTAGAAACCAGACCAAGTGCACCCACACCCCCAATTCACCCATAGCGGCACTTCCATGAAGGGGACGACGCCCAAAGCACCGCTGCCGCCCAATCCGGCAAAGTATTGGGTTCTCTCACCCGAGCCAACAGAGGAGGAGAGAGCCAACAGAGGAGGAGAGAGGGAGGGAGGGAGGATAACTTGACGGCCCCTTCGGATCGTAACCACACCCATCATCGGGCTGGCAGAACCAGCCGAGGATTTCTCCCGCAATCCATCCCCCACCTTCGCCAGCCCTTACCAGCGTAGAACCGACAGTCAAGAGACCGCCACGGCCCAGAAATGGCAAGGTGGAGGAAACTTGAGAGGTTGCAAACGACGAGCTTCAGAACTGGAGCGAAGTCGACAGGACGACAAACACTACAATGGCCAGTGGCCGACATCATCAGCCACCCGGCCGTCCACACGACCAAGGCAGCTGGGCAGCACCTGAGACTAGGCCCTCGCCGAGAAGAGGCCAAGACTCCCACCAACCAGGGCCGCCGCACACCGGGAAAACCAGCCCCGCCGGTCACCCAACGAGCAACGAGCCGCGAGCACGCAGCCAGCCTCCCCAGCTGCCGCACCCCAGCAGCTCCCGAACCACATTCCAAGTATCCAACACCCAGCGGTCAGCCCATCATGGGGACGGAACAGAGCAGCCAGATCTGGCCGGCGACGAAGGAGCCCACGCTCAAGAGACAACGACACAGAAATACGGCAGGAGTCGCCATGAGGATCCTCCACCCACGAATGCGCAACCACCAGCAGCCAAGACCGGCGGCGTTCGGCACCACCGTGCCTGGGAAGCAGTGGGGCCTCTACCCCGCCCCCCAACGCCACGGGCGGCTGGGCATGAAGACGATGTGCCCCAGCCCACCCGACGCCGGCAACCCGCCCCGAGAGAGGCAGCCATTGAGGTGCATCGCGTTGCAGGCCAGATCTGAAGCTTCGCGCCGATGAATCGCAGCAGGAGCGATCAGGGGAGATGCGGGAGGAAGAGGAGGGAAGCCCCGCCGCCGATGTTATAAATACGAGCTATCAACTAATGTTTCAGTTTAATTCTTCTTGATTGATGAAGAAACCTATAATAATTATTGTTGAGTGGAGGATAAGGAAGAATGATTGCAAGAAGCAAAACTGGAACTGGAAACTAGGAGTACACGATAGGCCACGGATGATATCGGTCTTCTGTTGTCGATATTTATGAATAATAACATAAGTAACACACTTGCTGAAGTATTTTTCTACCAAAATACAACCGTATTTTCACAAGACATATACCCTTTGTGCTATTATTGAAACGATGGGCTATTATGGGACCATATTTAAAAGAGAAAACAATACAAAAATCATCATGCATTTATCTAGGCGTGCAAATGCACGCGTCACCCATCGAGTTCATTCATTGTTGTTCAGAAGAAGAAGAAAAAGGATAATGTGAACTTGAAGGTTTAAATTACCTCCTTGATAATATATGTCCATATTTCCTAATAACACCAACGGCTCGCCATCCACCATCTTGTAATATATGTTCGGCGGGTCAAGCCTTATTTGCATTAACTCGCGTTGAGTGTTTCTTGCACTGGACGTACCCTCACCAGCATAATGACTGTTGACATGATCAATAGTGGAGAAGATAGCCCTATAAATAAGGGCATGCTTATTAGAGACTGATGGTGCAAAGATACTAGCTTTTTTTTTTGAGGGAAAGATACTAGCTTCTCATTTGTGCAAAAGTTAATACGTACCTAAACATTTTAAAGCCGTGTTCAGAGAAGCCATTGTAAGGGTCACCTTCCTCAAACATTGTTTGTCCTCCAAGTTGTTCCATTGTGCCGTCAACTCCCCTAAACACTATATATGCTACGTCATGGCAGTGTGGGTCCTCCCAAATGCCCACTGGCTTCAGTATGTTTGGATGAGTAAATTCCAGTAGAGCTTTGTACATGGTATATGCACCATCCATTGTCTTCCTTAGAGCAACGCAACGCTTTCCATCAACTGTAGCTTCATACATTTCTGCTGCCCCTGGAACCAGTACATCCTTGATAGCTAGTGTGCAGCCACGATGATCTACTAGTATCTGCAAGAAAACC